CGGCCGCCTGGCGCTGCGCGCAGCGGCTGCGTCCCGCCGAGTGGCCGGCGCTGCTCGCGGCTGGGGCCGCGGAGGGGAGGCGGGAGGCGGGCTCTGCGCGGATTAGCATAAACTTGGGGCCGCGTCGCTCGCCTCCGCCGGCCCCCTCTCCGCCGCCAGCCCCCCGCCCTGGCTCCGAGCTGACGCCCGAGGGGCCGCCTGCAAGCGAGAGGTTAAGAAGGGAGCAGCCCCGGGGTGGCAGGGGCGCGGGCAGTCGCGCCCTGGGGAGGCCCCTGAACGCACCCGTCCACCACCGTCGCCCGCGTGCAAGACAGGGAAGCAGAGCCGGACCCCTGGGGCCCGCCCTGGCGCGGGCCGTCCCCTCTCTCCAGGAACGGCGCCCACCCACGGGGCACACGGGTCTTAAAAACCCTTGCGTGCGTCAGCTCTGGAGCGGAGATGACCCTGTTTGGGGGCGCACCAGTAACATCTCCGCCGCCACCTCCTTGGAATAGGTTCCAGAAGGTCCCTGTTGGCTAGCTGTGCCTACTCTGCACCGTCTCCGTCTCCAGGTGGCCAGGACAACTGATAGCTGTGCTGCCCCTACCTGGGGCATCTTAACCTCTCCCTGCAGCCCAGTGGGTGACCAGGTCGTTCCTGTGGTTCCCTGGTGGGGTCCGTGCTTCCTCTCTCTTAGGTATGGGGTGCAAGGAGACCCAAACACCCCTCGCCTCTCCAGTCCAGCAGTGGATGCTCTGCTTCTCTTTGTGCAACTAAAGCTCTTAACCAGCTGGACCCCGGCACTAGTTTACTATTCGCAACCGGTCAAAGAAAACCTTTGGGTCCTTCTCGCTGCTGTTAAGGCAGGCTCCGCCTTATTCCCCTTGTGAAATGGTCCCTTGGAACCCAAGAACTGGCCTTTACTGTCATTCTCATTCACCATCATCTCAATGGCCTTCTAACCTGCAAAGAGCTTCTTGAATCCTGCTTCTGTCATCCAGCAGGGTGGCATTTCTTCCTGCCTGTCTCATCCACACAGGTGACTGCAGCCTTCTGTCTTTACCCAAGTAGCTGATAGGTGTGTGGAAGGCATAGAACTCTGAGGCATCCCGGGAGAGACCTTCCTGCAACCTGAGATGTGAATCCATGCCCTTTGATTAAAGTGATGATATGAGGGTGCAAAATGGGGACAGCTCTGAGAGTCACATGTATGCCCCCTGCCCATTCCCAGCCATAGTATGTGGGTCCCTGGTGGGGGAAGCAGATACCTGACCGAAATGGGCCAACTGTCCCCTCTCCTAGGCTTTGGTACACAGGTGCAGGGGGATCCAGCCTTCAGGCGGGAGTTTCCTGGTCTCTTTGATTCCTAGGGCTGCCATAACAAATTGCTACAAACTTGGTGGCATGAAACAACAGAAATTTACTCCCCCACAATCCTGGAGGCTAGAAGTGTGAAATCAGGTGTAGCAAGGCCACAGTCCCTCCAGACTCTAGGGAGGAATTCTCTGCCTCTTCCAGCCTCACTGGCTCCAGGAACTCCTGGGCTTGGAGGTGTATCACTCACTGCATCATCTGCTGTCTTCACATGTTCTTCTCCCTTGTGTCTCTACAGGGCCTTTTTTCTCTGTGTCTCTGTGTCCTCTCCTCTTCTTATAAGGACACTGGTCACTGAATTTAGGGCCCAGTCTAATGCAGTATGACCTCATCTTAACTAATTACATCTGCAAAGACCCTGTCTCCAAGCAAGGCCGCATTCTAAGGTTCAAGGTAGACAAGAATTTGGGGGAATACTATTCAGTGCACTCCAGGGCCCCTGAGGGGTGGTGAAGGGACAGCCCGTGGCATGCTGTGGCCATAGCTGTGTGGGACTTACAGGGAAGCTAAGGAAGAGAGTTTGCCAGAAGAGAGTTTGATGGGGCCCCTGGGTAGCTCTGTTGGTTGGGCATCCAACTTTGGCTCAGGTCATGATCGCAGGGTTCATGAGTTCAAGCCTTGCATTGGGCTCTGTGCGAACAGCTCAGAGCCTGGAGCCTGCTTCCGATTCTGTGTCTTCCTCGCTCTCTGCCCCTCCCCCGCTCACACTGTTTCTCTCCCTCTCTCAAAAATAAATAAATATTTTAAAAATTAAAAAAAAAATGAAGAGAGTTGGTCGAGTCTATGGTGCTCACCCAGGGAGAGGTGTGGGAGGAGCCATTTGGTAACTGGCTTTCCCTGTCTGCTTCCCATAACCCACCTCACTTGAGCTAGCTTGAATGGGTTTCTGGTCCCTGCAAATGATGCCTAAGACAGCCTTTTATCCTCTGACCCAAATCCACCAAACGTGCTATTATATTCTCTTTACCAGAGATGTCCATCTGCTGGGGGCAAGTTACACGGTATCCATAACATGCTCTTGATCTTGCAAGCACTGAATTTCCACTTCTCAGAAAGTGAGAGACATCTGGGTGGGACATGAACAGAGCGGGGCTCCTGAGTGGGTTCATGCCTGGCAGCACAGCCCTGGTGGTTCTGGAAGAACTCCCCCACCCCCACCCCCACCCCTGCATGCTACAGAAGCTGTGATCCTTTACTAAGGGGCCCCAGCCCTGCCTCTCACTCCCTTTCCAGCCCAGATGTGGGGCCCACAACTCAGAGGGAGGAGGCTGGACCCTGTCTGAACTTGGAAAAGGCCACATAACAAGGGGCTGAAAGAACAGTTGGACCCCACTTCCCCTTTTCCCAGGTGGCTGACATCAAACACCCTCTTTAACTGGAACAATTCGGGAGCCAGCCCTGGGGCCCCATCCTGGGGTGGAGAGGAGGACGTCGGCAGAGGAGATCAGGTTCTTGGTGGGATCCGGCCAGAGTCTGGGTCTCCCCCACAGATGATGAGGACACTTTGCATCTGCCAGACAGGAAATTGAGGGAAGCCAGAGGCAGGGGAGGGAGGCAGTCGTGTCCTCCCCCCACTCAGCCTGGAGTCTCTACACCTGGATCGAGGTAGGCTAAGGGGCCACAGACAGGATCACGATTTCTGTTCACAGGGGCATGCCCGCCCATACCCAGACACATTCTGTCTCTGTCTCTCTCTCTCACACACACACCCCACTTCCATACACACACACACAGAAAGAAGCATACGTTCCCAACCTTTACTAGCCCTTGGTGACAGATGTGCCACCTGTCCCTTCAGGAAGAATGGAGGATGCCATCAGGAAGACAAGATAACCCTGGGCAGGGAGAAGTGTAGCCTTGCGTTTCGGGTCCATCAGGGAGTGGCGCTGTGGGGGAACAGGAGTGGGGGCCCCTGCCAGACACCGCCACTTTCCCCCCTCCTCTGTGGGCTTCCTGGGGCAGAGGGAAAGAACTGGCCTCTGGGGGCAGAGAGGATGAGAGAATGGATCCCTGGAAGCTGCAGAGAGGCAGGCTTGCCTGGTGGTAAGTTAATGAGGGACTCTGGTGTTTGGCAACCCACCCACCTTCCCTACCTCCATGCATTTCTCAGAACCCAAGGAGTTGCATCCCCCCTCTCCAGGCTTTTTCCACCTTCCCCAGGAGGTTCCCCCAGCTTTATCGAGGCCTTCCACGTGAGATCATTGAGAGCTTCACCAAGTTTGATGGAATGTGGTTCCCTGAAAAGAGAAGGAATGGAAAGCACTGGAATGACCAGCTCTCTGGCATAAGCCCTTCTCGCTACAGATGAGCCCTCTGCAACCAAGGGAAGCATATCCCCCACCCCCCCAGGCAACCGGTGATGACACCAGCCTTAGGATACGGGCTGACTGCACAGGCGCTCTGTCCCTGCCCACCACCCTGCCCCATCTCCTTTCTCCTGAGCGCACAGCTCGGCCTCCCTAAAAGGGGCCACCTTTGGAAGTTCTGTGTAGCAAGGCTCTTTCCCCAGGGCTCACTCTCTCCCCAACATAAACATCAGCATGCTCAAAGCCCAGTGAGCATTTTGATTACACCCACACCATCAAAACCAGTTACTGTCAAGTCCACATGCATTTCTGGGGCAGGGGTTTGGAGTGACCCCTTCCAGCTAGGGCAGAAGCAGGGCTTCTCCAGGCCCCCCCAGGGTGGGTAGAT